GCTGTCCTCGCATCCCGTCCGCGTTACCGGCACCGACGGCAATAGGAGTAGGTGCGGGAGCGCGGCTTGAAACCGTAACACTTGAAAATAAATGTTGAGACTCTTAAACACTGAAAAACAAGGGAAATAAATCCATGAGCGGATGAAGGTTGTCCTAGAGAAACCGGTCGCCCGTACCATAGCGCCTCGAGCTATAGAGCTGATTGTATGGATAACGGGAGGGGAAGAAATGTCTTGCCACCAAGTCTGAAGTCAGAGCCCTCCCCTGTGAATGTGAATTGTGCGACCTTAATGTTTTATTCCGTTGGACGCTGGCTCACGGTGTTTCGTTCTGTGGATATTTACATGGAGAGTTGACATAAAGAGTTTCATGGAAAAGTGCTCTTTTATTTCCTGTACGCATTCAGGTCATATGCGTTACTGGCTTCGTTCATGCTTAATTCTGCAGTACAAGTGCAGCACTAGACAGGTGTCTTTTTTCTTTTTATTTTTCTTCTTTTGTGCCTCAGCAATAGAGCCGTCATCTGCTGTGACGGTAGCTTCCCGATCCACTGGTGGCAATGGGTAAACAGAGTGCAAGTGGGTTGATTTTTTTCCAGGTAGAGGCAGAACCGTGTCAATAGGAAGGGTGTGCTGTGGCTTCAGGTCTGGGGAGGAGAAGACTACTCTCCCATTACACTTGTTCATGTTGTATGGGTTATTATACTACTTTAATGTTATTACGAAAAGGATTTACTGAAAAATGTCTCATAGAATTCTGGGAGCAGATTAAAATACTGCTGTTACAGAGCTTGCTAAATTATCTGCTTTTGATTCTGTAAATAGAATTTATCAAGGAGAATAAAGAGCATAAAAATGGAACTTTGGCCTAAAACCTCCTTATTTAACCATTCCGTTATATTAGCATATATAATTGAAGATTCATTTTTCTTCTGTTCGGTTGGAGGGTCTTCAACTCATCAGTGTTCTGTTCCATTCCATGTCTCTTTTTTTTCTTCAACGTTTTTCTTGTGAGCGACTTCTTCATGAGTAATACATGATGATGGTAATCATGATTTTAGGCACTGATGTGCCATTACTGTCCTAATGCAGCCTTTACTGTCCTGAAGTCATTTTCACAGGCTGACATACATCATCTGGACAGTGTCTCTATTTTAAAGGAGTTGATTTCAGCTGAGCACATTATTGTGATCTTAGCCTTTTTTGCCTTGCCTGTTTATGATGCTAAAATTAAAAGCTTGAAAGCACACATGCATATCTATGACTGTGAACAGTTTATTAGAGTAAAATACGCGTGATAGGAGGTAGTACGTGTATGTAGGAAGTGTCAGTGGAAGTGTGACGATGTAAAAAACTGTGTTGAAGAGTTGTGTTAGAGTCAAAGAAGCTTTAAAATTCTTCCATTTTCTTTTTCTTGAGGTATGGTTTAAAAAAAAGAACAGCAGTGAAACATATATCGAAGTCCCTGTGAGTGTAACTGGCCCATTACTGCTGGATTGAGAAGTGTTGAGGTATGCTGGTAGGAAGGTAAAGAATTCCTTTGCAGTGATCCTTCAATGCCAATTTAGGGAGTGCCTTTGCTCTTGCTTAAGAACTAACAGATGGATTTTCACAGTGGTGATTCAGCAAAGGTCTGAATAAATAAGGAAGAAATTAAGTTAACATCAGAGTGGCAGCATTTCAAAACTTGTCAGTTGCAAACTTTTTTAACGGCCATCATCTTCTAGTTGCATGCATTTATTAGTTTCAGTGTGAGCTGGCAGTCGTATCCATAAAGTAGTGATCTTTGTAGCATTATAAAAGAAGTTTGAAGAACTCCATTGTGTTTCAGAAAGTAATAAACAAACTCATCTCATATTGTATAATACATGGAAAAACTGACCATGTCTTCTTAATAGCTTTTATTGTTATTACTGACTGAGGTGTAGTAAACTAATTTTCTGGGGAGAAGTTATTGAGAAGTAAGTTCTCAAGTTGGTACTGATACAAACCAATACCCTGCTGCCTCTTGCCTTAAAAAAAAAAAAAAATAATAAAAAAAAGGCAGTCATACCAACAAGCTATAAACCAGCCTAATATTATTAGCATTTTCTTTCCAAAGCTTACTCCTTGAGAAAGAAATGTCAGGCTGAAAGAAAACACAGGCTGGCAGCATTGCAATAAAGGCCTATATGTAGTGAGTTGTAATAAAAACAGATTCAGGCGGTCTTCTTTTCAGCCCTGTGTGGATCATGCTGTATGAGTGATTAAAGGCCTGATCCTGCAAGCAATGTAGTACCTAGATCATCCCTCTGAACGATGAAGTGGGACAAAAAGAAGACGGATGGAAGTTCCAGCTACTGAAAAACATTTTAGTCACTTCTCAGATCTTTACAGAGAAAGATATGTAAGAAATATGTTCTGAAGACATAGTCCAGGTTATTGGAGACTTGTCAGAGTCCAGCTGCTTTTCTGAGTGACACAGATGCGTGCCTGAAGTGCATACAAATTCTGTAACCAGATAAACTTGTATAGTGCAGCACATAGTGATCTGGTTTGTATATAAACAGCAACAGTATTAATTGTTTATATATCACCATGGTTTTTTGTGTTTGTATGTAGTTTTTTAGAACTCCAATCTGAAAACTTCTATTTGAAATTTCTCTATGCATGTTTATGAATATTTACTGTAGGAAAAGAAAATTCTGTATTATAATGCGAAATGCTTAATTACCTGACAAAACATTCAACTTCTTAAAGTAATCTGGTACTGTCAAATACTGTTTTGATCAAAGGACATTGAACAGCCAAGTAGTAGCAGTGTTTAAACCTTGGGGGGGAATGTCTGAGTGCGTGTGCAACAACAGGACCCTGGAATTCTAGGGAGAACGAGTGGGTTATAAGCTTTGACTCTACAACACAGAAAACCTTGAAGGGAGTTGTGGGAGGGGGGAGGGTTTGTTTGGTTGTTTTAGTAAATTGCCAATCAGCCATGCAGCGTAATTCCTGCCTTCCCCTTTTTGAAATTGCTTTCTAATATGACTCCTGGATCTTTACAATAGTATTTTTAGATTTTTCTAACAAAGAGTGGATTTTCAGCAAACAGGCTGTGGATGTATGCAAAGTTATGCTAACAAACCTCACTTTCATTTAGAAAACTTTCTGGCTTAAGCCTGCCTTCCTATGTAGAAAGGCATCCCTCTACATTTCTATTTTTCTATGGGGCAATGATAATAGATATCTCTCTTTGAAATTGGATACATTAATACTTGTGCAGATTCCAGGAAACTACGTGTCTATACACTGTCTGGTCATAAAATATTGTGCACATAATGTCTATTGCACCATGAAAGGACAGAAGATAATTCCAGGGCAGAAATTACACCTATGAATATTTTTAACAGAAAAATAGTATTTTAAGGTATAGACTTGACTAAATACTAAGCATATTTATTCAAGACTAGTCTAATGCAGACATAAATATATTGAAAGTATAGGCTGTCTGCAACTGCCCTCACTTTAATAGGCTGAAGAAATAATTGATGGGCCCCTGGGGTAGATAACTGCTCATAGGCTGAGTTGTTGCTCAACCAGCAGCAAAAGAACAGATGGGATATGAGGAAACCAAAGAAGTTTTGGGAAGTAAAGGATCTTAGTTCTTGAGGGTGTACTTTCAACACTGTACTGTATAGATTCGGCTACAGTAATTGTGGACGTGGTAGTTACATTTTTAGCTCAATTTCTACTCGCACCCCACTCAAGGAAAGGACTTCTTGGTGGGGGTGTCCTTATGACTGCAGTCTTCAGTTTGGTCATATTCCCCTGCCTTTGAGATCTGATTTCTGACGCTTTAGACTGCTGATATTTCTCTCTCCCTTCTTTTATAAAAGAACATTCAAAACTAAGAAGCCGATTATGATCGGTATCTGTGTGACAGATAGAGATTAGGGGCGGCTGAGAACTCTAACTTTTTAATCAAAACACTTTATTCTCCAACAGATTCCAGGGAAGTTCTTTTTATGTACAGCACACTCTTGAGTGCTGAGAGGCAGTCTCAGAGATCTTGCATTACTTGCATAAATATATTCCTATTCCTAATAGATATAGGCTACAGTATGTAATTGTCTTCTGTAGAAACTGATTTCTTATCTTCCAGATAAGTACATCTTTCTTCTAGTGATGCTTGGCTACCTCCTTCTTGACTGCCTATAACTACATCTGGTTTTTGTGACTCCAGCAAGTACATTTTCTGCCTCACTGGACTCTTCAGATTGCTTTTTAACCATTGTTTTCCCTGTTGCTGCTATTGCATTTGAAACAGAAAAAGTGATAGCGACACAGCTTAACCAGCTTTCTGTTTTTAAACAAAAGTACTCGTTAGACAAACATACCTGTCACACGGAATTACTGTCCCTATCACTCTCATCTTCCTGTATGATGTATGAATCCTGTTGACAGTCTTCAGAGTTGGTAATGGATAATGCTACTTCTGAAAGCTTTTCAGCTGTAACCAGATTTGCAGTTGGATAAACTGAAACAAAGTAAGTTTTCAAGTGCTGTGAGGCAAATTGGCGGTGGGATAAAAATCCTGGCTTGCAATTTTTTAGCTGATCTTTTCAGATTCCCAAGTGTCCACTTAGTGTTTTCTCAGTTGTGAGACTGTTGGTTGAGCAGCTTCCAGGCCCTGTCCCTCTCTGTAGAAAGGAAGAGGTAAGAAGGGGAAGTTCTCTATGCAAATTATAATTTTTTTTTTTTAAATGTAGTTTCCTTGTACCTCTTCAGCTTTTCATTAATACTTACAATAAAATGGGTTTAGTCAACAGATTTAGAGAAAATGCTTGAGGAAGGTAACGGGATGTACAAGGATTGATGTGGATATTCTGGACAGGGCTGAAGGAGAATAAACTAAGGCTAAAATATTAGTGGAGAGTTCATGTATAAAGGTGGAAGAGTAATGGTGTGGAAATAAGAGGGATGAAGAAATCAAATGTCTGAAACGGAGGAAAATCAAATAATTAATCAAAGGAGTAAAGAAAATAAACTCAGATCTGAAGAGAGTCATCTTTGGACTACAGTAGGAGACAAGAAAATGTTTGTACAAGACTGCATTTTGCATGGAATGTAACTGGTTACTGCAGTTATGAAAAAGGCTCATTCTTGTGAGGCTTTTGTTACTGTAAGTACTGGTAAGAGAATCAGCAACAGCTAGCTTTTCAGGAAAAAGTTCCTGAAAAGAGATGCATGCCAGGCATCTGTTAAAGAGGAGAGGGTGGGGGGAAAAGCTTTTATGCTTAACGTGTGTCTGGTTTGTGCAGGAGAATAGGCCCTTCAATTTAAAAGAGCTGGTGATGTTGTTGGCTTTTTTCCCCCTGACCCCAGCACAGTACATGGAGCACAGTATTTTGCTGTCATAAACTTGCCATTGGCAAGCACCATAGCACCTGATCGCCTTCATATTTTAAGGACTATTTCTGTTCATAGAATAATTTAGGGTGGAGCGGAGTGCTAGAGATCATGTAGTCCAACTTCCTGCTCCAAGCAAGACTAACTTTAATTAGATCAGGAAGCTCAGAGCTTTGTTCTGT